ATTATAATATTATTATATTTTATTATATTAGTTTATTATATTACATTTCTTTAAACGAGTTGCCAAATTTACCTATTCATTTACCTATTATCTATTCATTTAAAACTTACCTATTCATTTAAAATTCCTAAATGCGAATAACAATTTTAAAGATATAGTAAGCCTAAAAATACGAAAAATATTTTATATGGTCGATATCTTCAATAGGCCTCCGAAGAATATCTAAAGCAATTCATAGTATTTTATGGCCAAGAATTTAGGCCAAAAAACTACTTTTATACTTTTCCATTTCTCACATTTTCAACTCTCTCTCGTTGTATTTTCATCAGTTCTTTGGTTTTATTTTTTATCATAGCTAACAAAAAAGCTTTTCTTTCTTTCTTTTTCATTTCCAATTTTCAATTAATTATAGTAATGGGGAACTTTGCCAAATTTTCAACAATAAATTTGAAAATTTATTGCTTAATTTAAAGAATTAATATAGATAATCAATCGATTAAAACTTGCAAAAATAAATTGCACAATTTATTTAATTAAGCAAATTAAAATTTATAGTAGCAATTTTAAAAATATTCAAATTTCGAACATCGATTAAAAATATTAAAACAAAATGAGTAATTAATTTCATACATGTCCATTATCAAAATTATATCATATCATATCATATCAAAGAATTCGTGAAATTTAATTTAATTTTTTTCAAACCCAAAATTTTAATCAAAAATCAATTACTTGCTGATAATTTTTCATTTTAATCAAATTTTCAATGGAAAATTTTAATCTGAATCATTACTTGTTACAATCATTTCAGAAATATTATTTTCTTGTGATGCAGAAAATTCCGAATTACATAATGAATTATCCGCATCTCTTCGTTCTATACTTTTATCACAGAGTAACTGAATTGGATCAGGCCAAGCTTTAAGAAGTACCACACGTAAAGCGCTACGTGCAAGTGTTACATCACAAATTTTTTCCCATTTCTTACCATCAAAACGTACCACCGTTTTAGTTACCATTGTATTATAACCACCAATTGCATAGAAATATTTTCCCATTCTACACATTGCAAAATTTGATCTAAAAAAAATTCAACGAAAGTTTAATTTCATTGATTAAAAAGGATCGAACTTCCAACTAAAAAAGGATCGAAGTTCCAACTGATTAAAAAGGATTGAAGTTCCAACTGATTAAAAAGGATCGAAGTTCCAAAAGGATTGAAGTTCCAACTGATTAAAAAGGATCGAAGTTCCAACTGATTAAAAAGGATCGAAGTTCCAACTAAAAAGGATCGAAGTTCCAACTAAAAAAGGATCGAAGTTCCAACTAAAAAAGGATCGAAGTTCCAACTGATTAAAAAGGATTGAAGTTCCAACTGATTAAAAAGGATCGAAGCTCCAACTAAAAAGGATCGAAGTTCCAACTAAAAAAGGATCGAAGTTCCAACTAAAAAAGGATCGAAGTTCCGACTAAAAAAGGATCGAAGTTCCAACTGATTAAAAAGGATCGAAGCTCCAACTAAAAAAGAATCGAAGTTCCAACTGATATAATCGTCTTTTTTTCCACTAAATTTTAAACTTGATTTAAATTACCAAAATTTGTTAATTTTAAAGAATGAAAATCTTTAATCAACCATTTATTGATAAGGAAAGATTATTGATAATTTGTCAATATTTATAGTAATTGCAGTTTTTCGAAAATTTTGAAAAATTTAAACCTTGCTATTGGCATTGGCTCAACATTTACAGTATGCGCACTTCCAATTCGTAGGATTTCTGCGCTATTTAAACGACTTGTACCATCGAAACCACCAGCGATTAGCATGAAATCGTCATTCGCTGCACATGCCAGGCCTAGAAGCGTGATAAGAGCCTTAAAGAAATAATTTCTGCCTTTGTACTTTGTATTTAAATTCCTAAACAATTTAAAGAATTTTGTTTTCAAACAGATTAATTATGCTTAAAACAACTGATAGCAAACAATTCAGTCATAAATTTGGCCAAAAATATCTGTTATAAAATCATTAATTAAAGTCTATAAAGAAAGAGGCCTGAAACATTTTCTAGGCTTATTGATAATATCATTTTCTGGCCAAATATTCGCAATAAAGAAAAGATATGCCGAGAAAGAAGATTTTTAGAATATCCTATGGTGCTGAAAATTAACAATTTTTAAAATTTAATTCAAAAAAAAAGTTATTTGATGAAAATAAACTTATCATGAAACGAATATTTACCGGATCTTGGTGAATTCATGTGTGCAATTTCTGTCCAAATATCCATTTCCGGTATATACATTTCAACCGTTTGTAATACTATTTCACCGGTGTATCCTCCTGCAACATACATTTTACCACCCATAGCACATGCTGCTGCATCTGATCGTCGTTGTATCATACTTCTACAATGAAATTTCAAAATGGAATTTAAGAATTTAACAATCAAACTTCGAAATGATCACTACACTTTAACTATTTTTAAATTTTGTTATTTAATTTGAAAATTTTCAAATTCAAAAATTTTTTTTTGAATAATTTGAAAAGGAATTAATTAATTAAAAAAAATTGCAATAACCGAATTCTGGTCCATTGATTTTTGCTAGCATCATATATTTCAGCAGTTCGAAGTCTTAATCTACCATCTGAACCTCCAGCAACAATAATTGTACCATTAATTTCACATGCTGATATATAGCATCTGCAGAAATTTCATCATTTTTTTCTTATTTTCTCATTTAATATTCTTCCGCTTATTACTAAACAATTTTATGGCTATTTTTTTCTGTAATTAATTATCAGTTAATTGTTTATGAAAAAGAAATTAAATAAATTTAAAAAGCAGCAAATTAAATGCATTGAGATAGATGAAAATTTGAAATATATATCGAATTAAGAAAAGATTAAAATTTAAAAAAATCAAATTAATGAGAAAGCTAATGAAGTAACTATTCAAATTGAAAAATAGTATATTTTATAAATTATAATATTATAATTACTAAGTAAATTTAAAGTATATTTTTTTGATTGCCATTTTCAATATATCATTTTTGTCATAAATATACCTACCGTAATATATGATAAGCTATAAAGTTAAGTGTAAAAATTTACCTTGCATAATGCATTGGAGCTAATTCACACCATTGTTTTGTTTTACTATCATAACAACGTACAGTGTTGAAATATTGTGATCCTTCGAAACCACCAATAATGTATAATTTCTAAAATTGGTACTTAAAATTTAAACATTTCATAATTATCATTTAAATATTCAAATTATAGACATAAATTAATAAGCTTAAATTAATCCATACTATATTATTTTTATCGATTCAATATTTAATATAGTGTAGAAAATAATACGGTATGGAATAATAATACAGTATATGAATCATACTGTATTATTTTCATCATTGAATTGAATAAATTTAATTAATATTTAGTATTTAATAGTAAAAAATTTTACATCATTAATAACGATACATTCATGATAAGCTACTCGGCGATCATCCTCAAATGTTTTCACACGTTGCCATTTATTACTATTAACATCAAATACTTCAACAATATTTGTTGGTCCACCTTTTTCCCATCCACCAATTGCTAATAATATATCACGTTGAATTCGTGGTTCGCTATTCATTGACCATATAGCACTTTGATCATCGATTATGTTAATTTTAAAACGTAACAGATCTTTTTTAATTTCATCCTTCTGAAATTTTCATAACATTTTCTTTACTTACATACTTACTTTCTTTCTTTGTTTTTTTAATTTAATATTAATATAAATTTCTTTTTCTCTAAATTTAATATAAACTATTATTGACAACTTTATTTCTTTGTTTTAAATTTAATAATGATGAATTAGTAAGATATTTCGGATGATATTGCTAAAACATTAATGAATGAATATCTGTTTGTAGCTATTTACAGCTATTTCAAACTAAGTATTTTCATATTTTACATCATTAGCAAAAAGAATTTATTAATTTCTTTGAAAAATTATAAAGTTTGGCTCCTCCCCAACAATTACAAGTTATATTAATTTTTATTACGATAGTTGCAATACTTGCGATAATGATTATAATCTATTTTGATTATGAATTATGTATTATGATAAAATGAAATGGAAATTACAAATGGTACCGTTTTTTCTTCACAAAAAATAATTACTCTTTTTTTAAAACATTCAAGTAAACAAAAGTTCTTAGTAATAATAACTGCAATGATAACAGTGAAAATGATAATAATAATAATTAGTAATAATAACAATAATAGCAATAACAAATAATAATAAATAACAATAACACTGATCATAAAATGAAAAAAGTGTTAAATTTTAATTTGTCATAAAATTAACGGAAAATTTTGTTGAACCTGTTGATCATTGAGCAAATTATAACGAACAGATTTCAATAGTCGGCGGTAATATGGCATACGCCTTTTGCGATCCACCGAAATCCATCGTTTAAGAAGAATCCAAACATCCATCTGATGCATTTATAAATATAATTATAATAATATCACTACTCTTCTTTTATTATAAAAAATAATTCAGAATCCAAACATCCATCTGATGCATTTATAAATATAGTAATAATAATACCACCACTCTTCTATTATAAAAATAATTTAGAATCCAAACATCCATCTGATACATTTATAAATATAATAATAATATCCCTACTCCATTTTATTTAAAAAATAATTCTGAATCCAAACAAGAAACTCTTTTACTCTTCTGTTTTGTTTAAGTTAAACAAATAATTTTCATACATTAAAAATATTTAACAACATTGAATGATATTTACCTCTTCATTAACCTTCAATAAATCAGCATTTAAAATCTCAAATAAATTATCACTTCTGAGGCGGAAATAATCAAGATTATAACCATTATTTACAGATATGTTCACTGTATATAATACATATTCAAAAGTCTATAATTTAATTAACATATTATTTGTTAAGAATGCTTCCTTATCTTCTCTTTTTTTCTCTTCACTAAAAGAAAGTTTTTCTTTCTTACCTTGCTTCTTTATTTTTTAAAAAAGTTTTATTTCAAATATACCAAAAAAGATTTTAGTTCAAACTTTTTTTATTTGTTCAGGTAAATATTTGGTACACATTCGCCAAACAGCAATACAATTTTCCTCATTGATACCATCAACAAATTTCTGCACAATACAACGTTGTACACTTTCAAGCTTCCATTCATTCGCCTAACATTTATGCAAAAATTTTTCAAAAAATTTTCGTTGCTTCTTTTGAAAGTAATGAAATGACTATGATCGGATAGTATTGTCAATTGAAACTTAAAGTAAAAATATTTTGCATAATTTGTTTTTGAATAATTATAGCAATAGCTATCGAAAGTTAATCAATTAGCTTCTTTGTTTTACATGAAGAAATAACACAAATAAACATAATTATTTAATGATAAGTATTCAAATTATTTTTTCCTTTCACTTACGTTGAAATGACTTGCGTGTAATTACGTGTAATCACGCAAAAAAATTTTCTACACATTTTTAGCAAATGATTATCAATAATTTTACTGATTATTTAATGATAAATACTCAAATTATTTCTTCATTCACTTACGTTGAAATAACTTACGTGTAATTACGTGTAATCGGGCAAAAAATTTAATAACTTATGTGTAATTACGTGTAATCACGCAAAAAATTTTTTTGCTAATTTTTAGCAAAATGATTATCAATAATTTTACTGATTATTTAATGATAAGTAATTCAAATTATTTTTTCCTTTCACTTACGTTGAAATAGCTCACGTGTAATTACGTAATAATGCAAAAAATTTTCCGTTCATTTTTAGCAAATGATTATCAATAATTTTACTGATAATGCCTAGTCCATAAATGAAGTGATAAAGGAGTAAAATAGTATTTCTCCATGATGAAAATATGATATACCACTTTAAGAATTCGTTCTAATTGAAGCCAATCTTTGATATTTGTATTTTCATATTTTAAAATATAAAATATTTCTTTTATCTAAAAAAAACTATAATTGATTAATTTCAAATTTCTTAATCTTTTTAAAACAAAAAAAAAATATATCAAAAAATTTTGAAATAATTGAAATAATTACAATGTCAATTGGAATTGATGTATATACGGTATATTGTTGGGTTATTTCATTGAAATGCATAAATGGTGTGAGATAAGGACAACGATGTTCAATAAATCGGCTATTTAATCGATATCTTAAAATTAATCGATATGCTAATATTTATTAAATTATAATTAAATACTAAAAGAAATTACACCTTAACTATTTTATCATCTAAATTATTAGCAATAATTGCAATAGAAAAAATAAAGATGTTTGAATTTAATTATGTTAAAATTAGAGATGAGAATGCTATTCTTTTCTATTCCTTACCGATCATTATCATCAGTGATAATGTTGCAATCACACAGCGTATCATCAACATCATCATCATAAACATTGCTTGCTTCCATGTTACAGTACTCGTTACAGTGTGGTTTGAATGTTACTTCGTAGTCCTTCTCTACCATCGCAATACAACGATTAGTGTTATTAAGAAAAGAGAAATGAAATTCATTTGTATTGTAACAGTTTTATATATGCATTTTAAGGCATTGATAATTTGTATAGTAAAATTAGATTTATGCAAATTTAAGGTCAGATACCTCTCGAAACAGATATCCTTCTGATCTTCTGAATTGCTAATTTCAACTGTATGGTATTATTCTCTCACTGTAAGCTTGTGATATTTCTTGCGCTACTGATTTTCAAATGTATAGTATCTTTTTTACAATAAGATCATAGAAATTTCATAATTTTGCTTTCAGATATATGGTATTTCTATTTTATAGTATAAGTGAATGGTACTTCATGATATAAACCTGTTACCAATGATATTATACTTCCAAACATTTGTAAACCTTTCATGCATAATTTCTTTACCTTTCGAATAATAAATGATATTTGTAGATGATGTCCACATAAATGAAATCAACATCGTACGTAGATACAATAACGATAAGTGGAATACGTGTCATTACGTGAACGTGTAGGAATGGATGACTTATATCAGATGAAACTTTTCATGTATAAAATATAATGGAATCTAGATGTATATTTAAAACGTTTTGATATTTCAAATTTTGCAAATGTAGAAGTCTTGAAATTTTTAGCATAGTTTATCACTCATTGCAATCTTTACATAATCATAAAAGGTCACGCTTGCATTAATTCTGGTAAAAGGCCAAATAAATCGTCACGATAAAATAATGATGGAAATTGTATATTTCAACAAATATAACTTAAAAAAATTAGGTCATTAGGTCATTTTTTTCCTTTTAGTTTAACAATATGATTTGATGAATTGTTTATTACATAAATTCCCTCAAAATAAATCAATAAATTCTTTGCTTTTTGATTTGAACGTAAATTTAACAAAATGATGGAAAAGAGTAATATTAACTTCAAATTATTTAAAACCATTTAGTTAAATTAAATTTACAAAAATTAAAAAACAATAGTAACAAGGTGCTGTAAGATTTGATGAAATAATTTCTATACATCAGTTTTATAAGAGATTGATTTTAATTACTTCAAACAGTATCATCAAACAAGATGAATAAGATTCGTACAATATGATTCCTTTCAACGGCTTCATGCTTACTTTCATTATCGACTAGCACAATCGTTGATCCGTAATATCCACCAATCATTTTGCCGATCGATATATGCAAGTAAAATTTATTTTAAAAATCATAAACAAAATTATATCATATTTTCTACGAAATTTTGTTCTCTTTGATTATTGATAACAATCATTTGTTCTGCATATATATACAGTACTTTATTCTTGCTTTCTTGGATAAATTTATTAGACTAATTTTGCTAACAACTTGAAATCAACTCATAACTTCCCGTAAGTCAATTAAAAAATCTTATCAGTATCAACTGCTTATGTAGAAATCTTCGTAAATATGTGTAAGAACTTTTATACGTAAGAATCCTGCATAAGCTATATATCAGAAGTAATACCATCAGAAGTATAGTAATATCAGAAGTGATACAATTAGTTTGCTTTCGCAATACAAATAATATCATCGGAATCTGATAAATCACAATCGAATATTTCTAAGTAGCAATCGAAACTTTTCCGTCAATGACAATATCGGTCATCATGTTGTAGTTTCTTTCGTATCGTTATATCAGGAAACGCTCCAATTAAGATTCTCTAAATATCTTTCTCTTTTTTCCTTTTCACTTTTTCTTTGTCATTTTGTAAAATATCAAAATTTTTGATTATCTTTTTTTCTTCCAATTATTCCTATAATATTTCGAAATTTTTAATTTTTTTCAGAATTTTTTATTACTTTCTTAATTTGGATAATAACAAAAATTTTTAATTACTCTTTGAAAATGTGAAAATTTCTTCAAATATACAATTTGTTATTGTTATCCTAAATTACTATTTTAAGAGATAATCTCAATTCATTCAGATGATCGATACAGTGATGATATTATCCCGAAGAAAATAAGCAATGAGTGAGTGATACGGCAAACTTCATCATTTCTTCTAATGTGGTCGAGTGATATTGCGCAATTCATCAAATTTCATTATTTCTTCTAACGTGATAAAATACCAAAAAAAAAACTATTTCAATATAAAACAATGAAATTATTAATGCTTTAATTTATCATTGTTTATTTGATAATTGGCAATGAGTGATAGTGATACGATATTGCGCAATTCATCAAACTTCACTATTTCTTTTAATGTGGTAAAATACCAGAAAAAAACTATTTCAATATAAAACAATGAAATTATTAATGCTTTAATTTATCATTGTTTATTTGATAATTTATCAATTAATCATTAAAATATTCTTCTTTATTTCTCTCATAATTTTAATTTTGTTTAAAAAAAACTTTTGATTCTTAATCATTTAAAAATTAAATGCTTTTTAATTATTTACAATTTCCATTAATAATTTAATCATTAATAAAGGCTTATCAGAAATAATTATATCGAAATGATATAATCATATCATTTGATATAATCAATACATTCATTCATTTCACTCTAAGAAATTTTAAAATAATTTTTGATTTATATAAAATATTTATTTTCTTTGTTTTTTTCCAAGTAATTTTTTAAAAGTTAAATTTAAATTTAATATTTTATAAATATAATGCTATTAGAAAATATTATAATTTAAATGATTGAATAATTATGATTTGTTGTATAACGGAAATGACGGCATTTGAAAAGAAATACAAAATAATCGTAGTGATCTTTTTTTAGGACACAAAATTCAACGATTTAATTCTATCATTTATATTTCACTGCGAAATTATTAATTTTATTAAATTTAGTTTTTTTCCTTTTTTGAAATTGAAATGTCAATTTTTTGTTGACAGTATGGCTTACGTGTAAACAAATTAGATACGTGTATATACGTGTATATACTTATTGACGTGAATAATTTTCATTGTTGTATAAAAGTAATACAAATCTTTTTTAACAAAGCAACTTTTGTTTAAGTGAAAAATGAAGCAAAATAATATAAAGGTAATTATCTGATATATATATATGTTCTTATAGAACTTTTAAACAATTCATGTTTTTCGATTTAATTAAATGAAATATTTGTAAATTACTTATTGGCAGTATCATTGATTGCACCATCGATGTATTCAAATAACTTCGATGAAATTCGATGTCGACAAAATTTGAATTTGTTTTTGACAGTATTCATTTAGTAGATACATGCCAATAAGTATACTTCAGCTATTTGAAAAAATAATTTTTAATTTTACAAAATATTTGTTTTATTTTAAAATAATTAAATAAAATAATAAATTGAAATTAATTAATTGTTATTAATAGAAATTATAAACAATAAAATCTCATATTTTTACCAAAAATTTTCAGATGAAAAAATTTTATTTGCTTATCATAAAATTATCATTTCATCCAAGTATTAAAAACTTAAAGATAGCAAAAGTATTTTTTAGCTAATTTTAATCTTTCTCAATGATACTATTTTTGATTATTTTAATTTTGCTACAATTAATTATTCTAATTAATTATTATTATGATTGTTTCCTTTCTTCTATCATTTATTCTTTCATATCCATAAATTTTACATTTTCATTCACCTAAAAGTTGAAACAATAACTTGTTGTATAATTTATATAATTCATTCGTACTGAATACCTTCGCTAAAAATTTGCATAATTGTTTCTTTTTGGTTACATTCTAATGGTACGTCGTAATTTGCATAATTCATCTATTATCGTTGCAACAAAGTCAATTGCATTGATTAGATGAAATAGACGAATTGGTCAATTTGTCCGCAACTCTTATCATTCTCTTTCTATTATGGTGAGTTTTTTTTAATTAATGGAATGAAAAGAATTTTTTAAAAAAATTAATAATTTTTTGTAAATTATTAATTCCTAAAAATACTGCATAATTTTAAAGCTTTTAATGATTTATTATAATTAACGAATTAATTCATTCTATTAATTTACTACTTCCTTTCTTTTGTTCTTTTTATACCTTTCTTCATTTTTTGATATTATCAATTGTTTTAATTAATTATACCTTAGCATATAGTTGATGTGATATTTCATATTTCATTTTGAAATTCTTGAAGCTGCTATTTGTCGGTATTGTTAAATTCATATTGTAATTATTCATTCATTCGTTATAAGCTAGGATTTTTCATTCCATTTCTTCTTTTCATTTCACTTTAAATATTTCTTAAATTTAATTTGATTTAATTTTCTAATAGTAATTAAAAAAATTACAGTAATAATCAATTAATTAATCATCTATCTATCATTGAATTATGTGCAAATATTCGATATTGATAAGAATTATCAGATTTGGTTAATTAGCAAATGAAATAAGTATGCAACAGAACGTGAAATAATTTTCATACAATCCAAAGGAATAGAATATCATTTGTTAAAAGTTTTCAGTTTTTAATTTCCTATTTAAATTCAAATTTAATTCAATGCATTAGCAAATTTTTTTGGATAAAAGATTTTTGCTTGCTTGAAAATTTTAAATTTTAATAAGAAATTGGAAAATTGAATTTTCTAATACTGAATTAAATTAAATTAAACTAAATTAAATTTGAATTTTAATAGGAAATTGAAAAATGAAATTTGTAAAACTTATTGATATAAACGTAAAAAAGATATTGTGCTATTATATTCAAAGGGAATTCAAAATATCTTCACAATTTTTGCATTTTACCTAAAATTTTAAATATTTTTACAATAATTCAAATATGTAAAAATATTCGAAATAAAATTTCCCATTTGAATTATCTCAAATTATAATTAAAAAATATAAAAAATGAAAAAATCATTTATTATTAATGATAAGTGTTAAAATGATAAAGTGATAAATAAGTTTTGATACAATCAATACTATTTCGCTTTTTTTTTTAATCTCTAAATTTATTCTTTTTTCCGTTCTTTTTTCAACTCTCTCTTCTCTTTTTTTTACTTCCTCTCTCTTCTCTTTTCTTTTAATTTTTTTCTATCAATCAATTAACAAAAATTTTCCATTAAAATTCTTTAAAACAATTAAAATTCTCTCAATCAATTAATAAAATTTATTGATGAGAAAAACGATTAGGAAAGTAAAGTTGTAGGAATGCTATATTCATATCAAAAATTGAAAGATATATTTTTGAGTGATAAAATATTTGAGAAATTTCAAACTGTAAAATTATCAAAAATTTTAGTGTTATTAATTTCCATGTTCAATGTTTTCAGGAGGAAATATTTCATGTATTACTTCCAGGCTATCATTTACTAATTGTTTTCCATTGATTAATTAATTATTTTTTGATATTGAAAATAATTTTGAAGGTTATTAAATGTATAATGTCAAAAAATACATTATTGATCGATCTTGAAAGATGAAGAAAAAAACGACTTAAATCGATAAGTGGAAAAAAAATGTTACAATATTAATATGCAAATTTATAGATTAAAAAAATCAATATTTCTTTAATTCGAATTATTTTAACAAATCATTTGCACATTTCTGTCAGATGTGGTGTGGCAGACAGGAGCTAGCGCAACCGCGGCAGCAATTAACATTGGATGTTGTATGGGTTGTACCGGGGGAAATTCGCAAACATTATTTACAGGTGTTCTTCAGTATCTTGTTCGCTTGTAATCATAATTAATTAATGGAAGATTATATTTAATTATAAAGATAAATTTTCAGATAAAAAACGAAAACAAAATGTTCATAAATCTTTTGAAATTATTTTTTCAAAAGTTATGTTTGAGATTATTGAAAAATTAATTGAAATGTTGGCAAGACTATTTGAGATGATTGGCAAGACTGTTTGAGATATCTTAACGGTTGACAAGACTGTTTGAGATATCTTAACGGTTGACAAGACTGTTTGAGATATCTTAACGGTTGACAAGACTGTTTGAGATATCTTAACGGGTGGCAAGACTGTTTGAGATATCTTAACGGCTGGCAAAACTATTTGAGATATCTTAACGGAATATATTAGGAATTAAAAATTTTAGTCCGAACTAAAAATGATCGTTTTCTTAAATTAATACTATCATAATTAATTACTGACTAATAATAAATTGAATTTATTAATTTTTTAAAATAAGCATAAGATTTTTATCTAATTAATTTAATTTTTATATAATTAATTAGCTGAAGAACAATACATATCTGAGCTAAATTATATAATTGACGAATTGCAATAAATCATAATGAATTTATCAAAAGTTTAGTAAAAATAAATTCGAATATGAAATGACAAATTTTGTAAGTAGATATTTTAATAGAAATTTGAAATCTAACAGTTCTAAATTTTAAAATTATGAATAATAAAACGTACATATATATATTTTCATTTAAGGATGAAATTCAATATGACAGATTAGAAGCTGGCGCTTATATAAATTGGTCTGCAAGTGTTGGTTTAAAAAATCAAGCAAGAATTGTACTTGAAAATGGGTATTCATGTTCGGCGCCGGCAAGTTTGCTTGCTGCATTTTCCGAAATTTTACGCAAACTTATTTTAGTACAGGTATTCCATAAATGTAAACATTTTTGAATTTATTAAGCAATAAAATGTAATTGTTAAAAAATTTAATTTGTTTGTTTTTCTTTTCAATTTCAATTTGATTTTTTTGGTTCACAAATTTTCTAGTAGTACATATCTTTATTTTTCTCAAAATATCCCATAAACTTTGTTCCGAGACATCTTATAAACAATATTCTTTCGAGACATCTTGTAAACAATGTTCTTTCAAAACAGCTCGTAAACAATGTTTTTTTCGAGACAATATTTTTTCGAAACATCTTATAAACAATGTTCTTTCGTAGCATCTTATAGGCAATATTTCTTCGAGACATCTTATAAACAATGTTTTTCCGAGACATCTTATAAACAATGTTCTTTCGAGATATCTTATAAACAATATTTTTCTGAGACATCTTATAAACAATGTTCTTTCGATACGTCTTGTAAACATACGGACCTAATATATGATAAATAATTTTCATAGCGACATCGTTAAATATTAAAGAAATTTCAAAATACAATTCAGATAGGAGTAACTATATGAAATATGCTAAAATCTAAATGGAAATTCATTAAGTTTAGAAGTTATGCTTTAGATTAGAATATAAGTATATTTTTCATGCTCCTCTGATGCCAATTCTATAAATTTATTTATGTTATTAGCATTTTGGTAATTTTAAAAACTTTACCGGAAACTAATCGAATGATTATCAGAATGATTACATTTAGGCATCACGGGAACAACTCTCTTCCGGTAAAGAAATCACAATTCGCTTACATGGAATTCCGAGTATTACAAATGCCGGTCTCTACAATGTGATAGCTTTTATTCAAAATGGACAAATAAGATTTTTGGAAACTGAATTGGAGAATATTCTAACAGCAGCCAATGATCTTCGTGTAAGCATATAAACTTAGCTAAAGCAATAAAAAATTCTAGAATACAAATATACTTCATATTCTTTTAATTAAATCAGAATAGCGGAAGAATCGGTGAGGAAATCAGTAAGTGGAGGAAAATCGGCAAACCTGAACGATAAATAGCTCATTGCGAAATCTAAACGGAATGCGCAGATTCCTTCAGTATATCTTGATTCATGAAAAAATTTGCCAAATAACATAAGAATAATTCAAATGATTAATAAACCGGATATTCTTTTTTTAATGATTAAGAATATAATTAGCAAAATCTCACCTTCCCAAATATTTAGTAAGCTTATATCTATGAACATTTGATACGCTTACGTTTACACAAATGTACGCAAAATTTTTGACATAAAATAGTGTTTTCAGGTGGTTTCATTGGTATCATTGATTTGTGAAGAAATGATTGCACGTATATTAGAAAATACATCAACTGCAATTTCACTGCTATATACTGTTGTCACTTGCTTACCTGCGTTAGTTTAATTAGTTATTTTCTTGTTCTAACTCATTTAAATCAGGCATAAAACAAAAACTATTATTATATCCGCATAATTCGATTTCTATCTGTTCACAATTTCAACAATTAGAAAATTTCATTTTTAGCTTCTTACAATATTTAATGATTCGAACATAAAAGATTATTTACTAATAGCGTTTAATATTTTGTTACCATAAATTAGAAGAGAAAAAATTCAACATTTATGATTTTCTAACTGTTGAAAGAGAAAAGAGCAAAATTTAAACTACCCGAGAAATCTCGATGAATTTAATCCTGAATGAGACAGGAATATTAATCTTAAAGAATTATTATTGCACGTTATTATTATTATATTTACTAATATTTATTTTTTATTTAGGCACTCAGAATATCGCAGTATGGTTGTCGATAGCGTAGCAAGAAAATTCCGTGATGTTGTAATGAATCCGGAATTTCTAAAGGTAAAAAAGAAAGAAAAAAGTTTTTATTAATAATTTTCTACTATAATTGTAATTAATTAATTAATTAAAAAAAGAATGAAAATTTTGATAAACTTATGGTTAAAAGTGGGAAATAATAATTAAAAAATATTACGTGACAGTGTTGAAATGATAACTTTTCTTCTTTGTTAATTTAAAAAAAAAGAAAATTTAGTGCCAATGCTTTTATATTTTAGTTATCATTCGAAATGCTTTATGCGCTTATTTCTTCACCAGTAATACAAGGAGCTGAATGGGTTATGGAAATTTATAAAGCAGTCTTATTTTGGCTTCGAAATAATATTGATTTAATATATTTTGCACCAGCTTTATTAGATAATGTTAATTTCAAAATTATTATCAATACGATTGAAAATGTTTGTCGTTTTGCTACTTGTCTTATTTATCTTACTTAAATTTTAAAATTTCAAAATTTTATAAATTATTAAAAAGTTGAGAGATGAAATATTATAGACAAAAAAAAAGAGGAAGTGGTAATATAAAAAATGTCGTAGTATACTATAATTTATATTTCATTCATTTCTCAAATTTTAAATTTCATAAATTATTAGTAATAGATTAAATTATTAAAAGTAGAAATAGTGAAAAAGGAATAAACGTCGTGTAACTAAATTTTCAATAAATTTCAATAAATTAAAAAAAAATTTAATTTAATTTCATTTTTATAGCGTCGTGAAATAGTAAAGAAGTCAATGGAAGTGCCAGAATTGGGACCAATTATTCAAACCTTTTTAATGGATGCAATTTATGCTCAATTTTTGGTTTGTTTTATTTTATTTTAATTTTTTTTAAATTTTTAATATTTCCTAATTCTTGTCATATAAATTCATATATGATGAATAATTGTGTGAATTATACTTTATATTATACTTTATACTATAAAAAAAAAGAAAAAAATTTGTAATTAAAAGTGAATAAATGAAGATTAAAATAAACGATAAAAGATTATTGATAATATGATGATGATAATATTCAGTAGAATGGAATAGATACTTATAATTTAATAATTATAGGATGATTTGACATTACCGCCAAGCCGTAATCAATCATTATCATCGTCCATTTATACTATATCGGGTGCAGAAACTGTAAATGCTCCAACTCCAGTAGGAGGGCAATTAGGATTAGCGCCATCACCTCTTCGATCATATGTTATTCCAGCGTTTGATTCCCGCTCACCTGTGACAACTAAAAGCATTAGTAATGATACATCTGCATCATTAGACAAAAATTGGTGTTCAACCAAACAGCTACCAATAGGATCTGGTAGTTCTCGTAAACCAGTCGATTATCAGAGCAGTACTACAAATACCGCAACTTATACAACACAGGAAAAAATTCCAAAGAATGTTGGCGATAGCGGACGAAGACTTTGGTCTGAAGTTCTAGCTCATGGACCCAAATATAGTTCAGAAAGTAAAAATTTATCAAGTGAAAGACCTTCATTCCAAGGTAGTACTATATCTTCAGCAGTATTACCATCAAAAAGCTCTCACAATTTGATTCGTACCGCACGTAATGGCTCGACAAGTAGTGGTCCAGCAAGTAGTAGTCCGGCAGATAGTGGTCCGTCACGTAGTGGTGCGGGAGGTAGTGATTCGGCGCGTAGTGGCCCAATACGTAATGGTACAGCACATAGTGGTTCGGCACGTAGTGGTTCGACACATAGTAGTTCGGCACATAATAGTTCACCACTTAGTGGTCCAACATGTACTGATCGGGCACATAGTAGACCAACATTCTCTTATTCAACTATCATTGATTGCGATGATGTTGATGAAGAGGAAACAGCAACCGCTATTGCAACCTCTCCAACGTTAGAATCGGCTGGAATTCGAACAAGTAGTAGCCAGGAATCAGCGTCAAGTTCAAAACGTCGACGTAAATTTGAGCAAATTCCGCTACGAACTGAACCACCAAAAAGTCGCAAGGAGTTACGCAAGGAACGGCAAGCACGTGAAAGAGCTGAGAAGAAGTGATTGGAAATGATCGATGAATCATCACTCCTCTATTTCAATTTCAAATTTCATCCAAACATTCTTATCACTACACTTTTTCTCTATTTCCTAAAATGCTTATTGTAATTTTAAGGAAAAAAAATTTTTTCTTTTGTTCCATTGTAAACATGTTAAATCAAACGTTAAATTCATTAGGCTTACAATTACAGTAGACTTTTGATTCCAATATATGTTGATGAAAGTACTATCGGATACTATCGTTTATGTGTTTATTAACAAAAATGAACTAATATTTTCTCTTAAATTATAGAAGTAAAAGAAAAGGACGTATTCAGATATATTTGTAATTCGCGTGATGGCAAGTTCTTACAATACTTAAATAATTGATCTTTGGTTTAGAATCCTATGCAACTGCGGGTATTACGACGGCTCAGAATCCTACACAACTGCGGGTATTACAACGCAGTTCAAAAATGAGACCCATTCCAGAATTCTTATTTTCATGTCCACAATTAATAATTAATAATGATATTTAATACAAAAAAAAAGCAAAAAGAAAAGGATCCAAAATATTTTTAACTTCAATTTTAATACCTTAAAAATAATATTAAAATAAAAAATAATATTAAAATAATTTAAAATGGTATTGTTTTATAATTAAAAAGTTTTAAGTTTCCGAAAGTTCCGCTTGAACTTCTCAACAAAAATTAAAATTTCAGTTGTTGGATAAGCTAAGCTAAGTAAGCACATGAGAGTATGTTAAGACGATTATCAGTTTTAATATTTTGTTGCAAATTTTAAAATGAAATTTCACGATCACTTCAACAATAAAATTAGTTGCTTTTTGTTTTAATTTCTTCTTCGGCAATTTTTATACTGTGGAAGTATTCGTTGAAAGCTTTCATTGAAGCAAGCAAAATAAACTTAGTGTTTAGCGTTCAACATCAACCAGTTGTTTGTTGTTGGATATAGTGATGTGAAACGGTGAAATGATAGGTTGGAAATTATCCGAACGTATTTATCCTTCTTGCTATTTTTATTTTCATTTAATAATTTTTAAAATTAACTTCGAACTACTCTTGTAGAAAGTCATTTAATTATTTTAATTCTCGATGAGAATGATTGGTGATAATAAGAATTGTTAGACTGGAATATCAAAAGTGAATATTTTTGTGGAAAATTTATGTAAATCAAGAAGACAAACATCATCACATATCTCAACGATCTATTCCATATCTCAGCGATTTATTCAGTATCTCAACGATCTATTGAGCTATTCAATATCTTAACGATCCAATATTTCAATGATCTATTGAGCGATTTGAAAACCACAACGTTGTCGATGATTTTCTTCTAAAAATCTAAATTCAGTTCTCATGCAAATCTATCATCAATTTGATTACATCATTTCTGAGGATAGTTTAAAAGGAAAAAATTTTTATGAATCAAAATTAGAAAATTTAATTTACTAATTAAAATTTACTCTTAAGATTTAAGTCTATCATTTCATGTTAGCCATTATTCTTTATTCGTTCTCTTCTACTATACTTTGTGTTATTTTATAATTATTTGACAAAATTTTTTAAAATAATTTTTGCAAGAAAAAATTAATTGTTAAAAGATGATTCATCGGATATATTTAAAGTTAGCTGTTCTTCAGCTGTCATAAGGAAAATGGAAGAAAGGTCAAAGATTAATTAAATTTATAAGATGTTATAAAACAGAGATTGAGAGTACAAAAATGGTATAGCGATAAAATTTTGTTATGATTGAGAGTGAGAAGAGAAATGCATAGATTTGAAGAGAACAAAAATTGATGACACTTACGAGATAGCATAAGTGATGAATGAGGAAGACGACGAAATTGTTAAAATAGCGGCATTTACTGTTTGTTGTTAGAGAAATTCAACAAATTGCCATTCTGCCCAAAGAGTTCAAGTTCATATAGCTTCTGTGTATATGTTGATTTCACGTGCTTTCGTTTTACATAGGATAACGTGATGTTTACTTGATCATACGTTAACTATTATTTCGTAATTATTATTATTACGTTAATTATTTTGATAATTATTATTGTATAATCATGTACGTGATAATTTTTTTATAATCATGTCTTCTGTCATAATATATTTAATACTTTGTTTAATTACACGATTCGACTATTTTATGATAAACATAATTGATATAATTATTCAATTTTCATATGTGATAGTAATTGAAAAATTAGATCAATTATAAATTGAGAGAAAACGCTTCAAATACGAATTCTTTGTTTATCTCGTATACATGAATATGTGAGATGAAATTTTAGATGATAGACTAACGCTACATTCAATAAATAACATAATACAATGATGGATATGAGCGAGGATGAGAGGAAAGTGGCACAAACGAAATCGGTATATTCGATAACATTTGATTCGATGAATATTGACGATCACATACATTGCACTTACTGCTTCTCTGTCAATTGTCAATATAACAATTGTGCATTACGTTCATGTCCCGAATGTCGTGCCATATTGCATGGTTGTAAACTTGAGGATCATTTGCTAATTTGTGCCAAGGTTAGATTTTTTTTATTTCAAATATTGTCAGATCAGATCATAAATTATTTCTATAGAAGCTCAAATATATCATTAGATTATTGTAGTGGTTTGAGTAATAGATGTAATAGCTAGACTTTACCGAGTTGTGAGAATTTCGAAAATGATTATTGTGCATTAGTTAGAGTATTAATGGATAACGCATTTGCCCTCCTCCAAGAAAGAAAATAAGGAATAATTTATTAATCAAGAAAAGAAATTGATGTATAGACGTTTTCAGCGCCAAGTTTCACTATCACATGAAGGTGCATTTTGCCAAATGGTAACGCTTTGAAGTGTTAGGCCACAAATAAAGTGCATTAGAAACTGATGGAAAGAAACTTGTTATAGCTATGTTAGACTTTCTATGAAAACATCGTTAGAGAAAGTGCTGCTTTGTACATGTTTGCCGTCTAACCCAATATTGGATAATTTCACTATATACGATGTCTTTACTGTTGTATTTAATTTTAGTAGCCTATCATGTTTAAGCTAAGAAAATACTTTTCAAAGAATACTAACCAACATTATAATGAGAAAATTTTATTATTATATAAAGATTTTAAATTCTGAAAATCGCCACTACTTTTGAATTATTGAAATGTTGTTATGGTTTAAGGCTTATGTCTCGTGCTTATGCGCAGCATTCGGTTGTCCGGTATTGCTACGACGTGATCGAATGTCACAGCATTTGAAGCATTGCTGTGCATCTACAATATGTTGTGCCGTACAGTGGAATAGACGAACCCTTAGTAATTACGCAAAACGTAAATTGAAACGTTTGGCAAAAGGTTTGGAACGATGGGAAATAAAGTCTGAAATGGATGATCGTGAAATTGATGTTTGTGCCGTACTGGTAGATCAGGTTTCTTTCCACTTTAATTCACGTTTGGAAGAACTTAAATGTTATATCAGTTGATTAAAATCAGCTTATTTGCCGAAGTTCGTTTTGTTAGGGAATTATATCACGAAATTCATCTAACATTTTATTTGTGATTGTCTCATACTGAGAAATGTTTTTTATATTTGTTTTTTTTTTCAGGAAGCAGTCATCGATTCTTACCGGATAAGTCGTGAAGATCGGAAACGTCTAACTGATTTCCAGAATCCATGTCATCCATTGATGCCACTTAGATTGTCGCTAGCGAAGTTATCTTGTTTTGCAGATGAAGACAGCAGTGACGAAGAAAACAGGCAAAAGGTTTTCTGAAAAGCCTTTAGTTATAACTTAGTTTTCGGATTGTCTTTCTGAGGTAATTTTATATATGTTTTCGCAATGAATCCTCTAAAGTAACACTAATGTCGATGGATTCGATGTGGAAGGTGAAAACTAATATTGAAAAGTATAAGTGCTATTCATTATATGTTATTTCTATCGCTGTTGTCATTTGTCAAGGAAGCTCTTTCGAGCGTTGCTTGAAGTTGACAAACATAGATTAACAATATTACGTACAAACACTGCATACGTCCATTTAGTTGTTTTTCAGGAAATTCAACTTAAGCTTAAACGTTCTCCATTTGAAAATTGTTATTTGTGCAAATTCGATCCAGCTAGTCAGCATCTGCATGTATTGGGTAACATTAGTTTCGAAGGAAATGAAAAAGCTACGGAAGAAGAAGTGATTCCACCTGTTAAAGTGTCGCTTTTGCCACCGTTTTATGAGATGAGGCATTTATGCGTAAGCTTTAAAGTAACAGCTTTAGCTAAATGGTGACTTAAATGTAACGATGTATTTTGCTGTTGTGTTCATCAGTTACTTTTTATCTATAACCGCGAAAATTATTTTCAAAGCATGTTTGCATCACTTACCTTTTTCGCTACCGGCCTTAAATCTATAAAATTTTACTTAACATTTAGTTGAATATTGGACGTGAACGTTTCTCGGTATTCGCTCGAAAAGGTGAGAATATGCCATGTGTTCAAAAAGGGATTTCGGTATATACATTTTGCTGTAACGAAAGCTTTCGTCGTGATGAATATTGTACACATTATGAATTATCCCATATGGAAGCTGATAATTGTATAGGACGCTGTCCAATGTATGTTGATGGATGCCCTTTTTATTATTGGAAAGCGAAACCATATTGGGGAGAGTTAAGGTTGTTGTTTGTTTGTTTGCTTATTTTTTCAAATCACCGTCAGCTGTTTCATTTTCTAACTACGAAAAGCTTATTATGGACTTTCGCAAGAAGATACGCATATAACCAAATTGTGTATTTTGGATAAGCTGCTATTAGGACATTAATAAAATAGTGTTTATGTTCATAAATTCTAGCAATTTTTGGTCTTCATAATTCTTTTATTTTATTTTGAAACTGAAGATACATATATTATCAGTTAAGAATGGTGTTTATGATTAGCTGTTTGTGATTTTTTATTTCATCCTCTCCAGAAATACTTCTTTTACAGATATAATCACTATCTGAATTGTGTCGTGCATCGTCCACCTGAACCATCAATTATACCGTCTGAGGGCTCACTGTTGTGTGACTTGCCACCAATAATACTGATTGAAATTTTGCAATATTTGGATAGTGCATCATTGCGTTGTTTATCATCAACTTGTAAACATATGCGGTTGATGTGTTTCAAAGTGGTTACTAATTCTGCAATGGTACACATCAAATGGGAACGAACCGAAAGCGGAAATTGGTCAGAAAAATGTTTTGTAAGTTATTTTAAATTTGAATTGTTTACCCTTCTTAATTTATTTCTGCAATTATTTTGTTTCAACTGTTCTTTGGTTATGAAGTAATTTAAAATGCTAATATATTCTTTGTATTTCAAGACGATTGTCTCATTTTTTCCTAGCTACAAAGAAAGTTATTATACCTAATGAATGGTAAAAATTAATGTCGATATTTCTTATCGGATTAAAGAAATTTTCTTTTATAGATGTGGGAATTTAGTAAATGTCAAAAGCCGATTCATGAATGGAAGAATGCGAGTGCAACTATTTTAAGCAACCACTTGTCCGAGTGCACATTTAATATTCCGGAAAAATTCAATCATGATCGCATTGCTTTACTTCCCACAGTTAGACAAGCTTTTGCGGAAACGATTCATCCTATTGGGGATCGAAATCAACGCCGCATCGAACAAATTGTACAATCTATTAGATCTTGATTTTTGCTTCATATTTTTCTAGTGATGCATATAAATATAGTTTATATCAAAATTGTTATAATTCATGTATAACTTTTCGTACCAACTTTATTAATTTCTAGAATTCATTAAAAAAAATAGGAAATCATGAATAACATTTCTTATTTCATGTGCCTAATCCTTGGAAGCAATTAAATTTTGATCGGCATGACGAAGTTTTCATGTTGTTTCATTATTCCACTTGCTAAAATTCCTGAATTTTTCAGTAGATGCAAGAGACAAAGATAGTTCATATTAATTTCGACAGCAATATTTGTTATTTAATAAAAAGAATGGGCAGATGTAGATGCTGAGAATCATCCTGCATTTCATTATATTGTTGAGTAATGTTGCAGTAGGATGTTATTTTTCGTTCATTCATTGCTTGGAAAAAAGGTATTTAAGAGCTGCCAATGAGGAAGAAAGTTCAAGTTAGATTTTGCTCAAATTATTCTAAGCTTCTGAACTTTTTTAATTGGAAATGAAAGTTGAAAGGAGAATGTTGCAAAGTTTTCGCGGATATCAATAACTCATTGTTGTCTAAATTTAGTGTTTAAATTTAATTTAAAAATTAGTTTTCTTAAAAATAATCCCGTTCCATCATTTTTGCAATTTTTGCATTTTTGCAATTATTCTTTATCTTCTTGTTCTTGTGTATCTAGTTGTGTTTATTTTGTTTGTGATTTCATTTAAATCCCGGGTCATTTTTGTAGTTCTGTTGAAATGAAATTAGAAATATTAAACTTTTTTCCTTTTGTCTTGTCACAGTTATTAACTGATATGGATTGCACTATCCTATTGAACACTATACAATTTCCTTCATATTTTCTACATCTATTCTTGCAATTCTACGAAGTCTTCGTTCCGTGATCAATTTTTAACCTATCAAATGATCCTTTTTTCTTTTAACTTGTTCTTTTTATATTGAATTGTCATAGGTAAATTTGTCGAAAACTTCAATGCTGAAAAATGAGTGCACTATCAGAATAGCCATTGAAGCAATCATCAAAATACTTTATACATCAATCTACGAATATCTTTTGCTATCGTTGCTAACAATATCATATTCAACTGCTTCCATGACAAAACGTAAAAACTTCAGTTCTGTTAGTTTTGTCAAAAAAAGGCCACAACACTTTTCATTTAATTCATTAGACAAAAGAATGATAAGTAATCATAAATTGGCAAATATTCTGAAATGTTAATTTAACATTGATTTTAATATGGAATATTCCATCAGCAATATTGTTTTTTGAATTAGAAAGGATTACAAATTTTCATCAGAACAGATGGAAAAGTTTGAACATTTTCTACTTTCATAGAAGAAAACTTTTGCTATGTTTGTTTTATTACTTATATTTTCTTCATTCTTTTGCATTCTTCATTTTGTTAAGATTGTTGGAAAAATGTAGGAATATATAAAAAAAGATTGGATAATTGATCGAAATAGTTTTTTAATAACTTATCTTATTCAATTTGATATATACACTTTATACTATTATTATTTATTTTAAATTTCCCTTTGCTCGTTTATTTTCCACTTAAATTATAATTATAATAATTATCTTATAATTATAATACAAACTATTTTGGAGCGTTATGACAACGTTAAAGAATATCGTTTCGTTTGAGTGTTAATTAAATGAAATTTCACACTTCAAAAACTTCAATAATATAAGTATACAAGCTTTTAATTACCTAATTTTAATTACCCATCAAGAAGTTATTAGTAATGTTTAATTCAAACAAATGATGCTAAAAGATTATGAAATGAAATTTATATGATTGATATTTGTCGATTGAAAATTCATTTAAGCATAATTCTTTCGATAATATCAATTCATTATTTTGATGCTTCAAAATACAAAAAACATTTGAACATTTTTTGATAACATTTATCAGAATTTCAGGTTTTGGTATTTATCATCCGATGATTCACATCCTAAATATTCTGCATAATATGGGGAACACATAATCTCCCCGATAGATGCAGGAATCAATCAATCAATACTATATCAGCTTGTGAATGTCAGATGGAAATCGATATTTCATTACATTCATTTGTTTTGTTTTAAAATTTTTTCCACTTTTCTGTTTCTTCTTTTTTTAATTTCATCATTAAATTTAATTAAAATTTTATAAATATATTTTTAAACACAATACTTTCATTTTTTTTTCTTTAATTTCAACTATTATTATCAGAATTATTCTAACATATAATAATTACATTAACATATAATTATTATACTAACATATAATAATTACATTAACATATAATCTAAATTCCAATATATGCATTTGATATTTTGTTTCAAATATTGTAAATAGTCGATTTTTTGTTTATTTATTTGATTTTTTATTCGATAAATTTATTTGATATAATTTTGCTGTAATATATTTTTCAATAATATCTAAACAATGAATAACTAATTTCTTTATTGAAATTATTCAAATTATTATTTTATTTCTATTGTTCTTATCAATTATCAATAATATCTAAACAATTAATAAATAATTTTTTTATTGAAATTATTCAAATTATTGTTTCATTTCTATTGTTCTTATCAATTATCATTGTTTGTTGTTGATATTTTAAATAATAGAAGACAAAGAAAAAAAAATGAATTTTAATAAATTTTTCACATTACAATTTAAGCAAAAGAATTATTAAAACAAAAGATGGTGATGGAAAAGATCTGGAAAAGATCAAGAAAACGAAAACGGTTATGATATGATTCTTCCGGATTATTTATTCATAAATTTGCCGGAATTGGAAATGGAATTAATTCAGTAAAGTTTATTTTATTTCAATGTTTGTTGTTGCTATTCATTGATTTCGTAGATGATTTTCAAATATACTGAATCTATAAAAAAGTAAAATTTCAAAATAAAAATTATTTATAAATTTAAAATGATGCAAATTATATTATAAATAAAATTAAACTTTTAAAAGGTTACAGAAAAAGAAAAGAGAAAAGGGAACGAAAACCGAGGATGAAATCTTTTTTCGATAGAATCCGATATCTTTGACATTTGCATATCATTGGAAATTGCACCTTGATCCATATCACCAATCATTGGCCAACCGCTGATGATATACCTATGTAAATAATTAAATTTTATAATTAATTACATACTTCATTCTTTTTTTTTAACTCTCATTATAATTTAATTATACTTTAAAAAATTTTTTGATAATTGATTTAATAATAAATTTGTAAAATGTTGTTAAAAGCATGTGATAACGATATATATTGCATCAAATAGGAAAATTATTAAATTTTAATAGAAATATCGCTCGTATATAAGTACTAAGTAATACCATTAATAAAATTAAAAATTCTGATTCAATAAATGTGTATGAAGTTATTGTTTATCTGTTCTGTTATAAATTTTAATAACAAATGTAAAATATAATGCATATAAATATATCAAATATATGAGTAAATAAATAAACGAATAAATAAGTAAATAAATAAATAAACAAACAAATAAATATACTCTGTGCTATAAATGATATAAAAATAAACAGTAAAAAATATTAATAAATAAATGTATAAATATAGTATTTATTTTTTGCAATATAACGATGCTTTCTTTTTCACATATTTAACAAAATTAAGTAACCGATCGATCATTTATATCGTTCTAAAAATTATCATAATAAAGTGGATAATAAACAACAAATAATTAATTGATAAATTTAAACTTACGGTCCGTAATGATAAGCTGATGATGGCATTGTTGTCGTGTAAAGAATTATCAATGTTAATAGATATGTTGTTCGCATTGTTGATATTTTGTATTCTTGCCAAACTAATTAATTACAATTAAATATTTAATTTTGTTTTTGTGACCTGAATTAGTCGAAATAAAATAAATTAAATGGTTAGCCTAAATTAGTTATGTAATGTTGAAAACGATGAAAATAGTTGCAAAATGATCGAAGAAGTTTCATAAAAATTTTATTTGGAATTTCATAAATTTTTTAATTAAAAAAAAATTCGATATCGATTTTAATTGTAATCTTAATGGATCGTTCTATTAAGATAAAATAGATATCATTCATATTTTATAATATTTTAATTGATGCTTTTATTATCAAATCTTCAACTTTTCTTTTTCTCTTTTTTTATCTGCATTTTTTGTTATCTTTAATCGGAAAAATAATCAATGCAATTTGCAAAAATTTAATTTTGAAAATTTAAAAAATTAATTTCAGTAATTTTGCAAATTTTCAGCTAATGGTAGTGAATCACATGACAATGAATAGAAGATTGAGGGAATGAAAATATGAAATATATCGAATAATATTGTAATTTTTAAAAGGAGCGATATAAAAAGATATCGTTTAAAAAAGTACAAGTTGAATAAATTTGAAGATAAGCTGAATAAATTCCATTAAAAAAAAACATATATAAAATTTGAAAAAGAATAATTCAGGCCTAAAATAAGCGATAGGTGTAACAATTACATAATTAAGAGAATTTAACCCTATGTAATTAAGAAAATTTCTCTTAGCTAAGAGTATTTTAGCTACTACACTAAATAATGTGGAAGAAAATGAATTGTGAAGAAATTGAAATTTTTATTTTCTCTTATCATTATCATCATATCCTATATTATATCATATTTTAGATATGGTTTTATTAACTATTATGTATGATATTTATAATATGATATTTACCAAGCATTTAACATATTATATTTTAAGATAGTTTTATTAGCTATTCGATATGATAATTTTGATATGCTAATCCTACAGACTATTTGATATGATATTTCTGACATGATATTTTGCTAATAATAATATGGTTGAATTATTATGATATCATAACTTTAATAAACAAAACAGCTGAAAAGAAAAAGAGAAAAAATTTAGTATTAGAAAAAGATATAAATTAATAAATTAATTAAAAAATTTTATGACAATTAACAAATTATATTAACAAATTATTAATTAACAAATTTTAGCAAATTAT